ATCGCGCCACCCGGAAAAGAGTCAATTATTCGTGGATCTCTTTAACGAGCCCCGCTTTTGTAGGTCGAGACTTCTCGGCTTGTCCAGGCCCAAGACTTTACGACCGATGTTCGATATTTCGAACGGCGACCGAGCGTAATAAACCGAAAGTTCCATCGTTCACGAAACTCCTATGCACCATCGCTGGCGCATTTCCGCGTAATGAGAAGGCACGCTGAGAGAAAATGTTTAATTGCTGACAGTGTAACAAGCACGAAGCCTTTCGACGGTTAATTTCGTTGGCCGTTGGCCAGCCGATGACCTCGAAACGTGCAAGTAATGCGCGAAGGTTTGTTTCCGTCTTTCTCCGCGGCGGGCGTCGTACGGTTCTCCGGTCGAAAATTCATACGGGTATAGTGTGCCATGCGCGACTCTCGTTATTGAAATTAACCAGCGTGTAATCAGCCCGTAAGCACGATACCTTAAACGGATGGGCAAGGCGCGAAATCTGCAGTTTGTGGGACAGCCGCATTACTCTTCGGGTACACGCGGCGTAGCAAGGTGCGAAAGCCATATTTGGCAATCCTTCGATAAATCTGCGCCAAGACAGAAACGAAACCTCGATGTCCAATCTTCTTATTATTGTCCGCCGCTTTCTTCTTCTTCCCGTTTATTGCACGACTGTGGGTCCAATTCGGCCCGTACGTGCGCTCCTCTGGGATGTCTCTTTTAATTGGTTTACCATAAAAGCGATGTGCGCACGATCGAGTTGCTAGTGAACTTAACAGATGGACAGCTGCTGGTGAACTTAACTGATGGAAAAAACAATTTTACGAAATTCCGCTAAATTATTTTTATAATAAAAAATTACAAAGAAATATATTCTATCATAAAATTAATATTTCTTTCTTGCTATACAAACATTATATTTTGGACATCTAAATGCATTACTGGAATGTACAATTTTATTTGATAAAAATTAATTTTTTCAAAATAAGATTTGCCATCAACAAAAAATTTCACATACAGACGAAAATGAAACCTATATATACACGCCCCAAATTTCATGGAAAGTTTTTGAGATCGAATAAATGAATGCTCGTCTCAGTTCAAACACATTATCTGTAATACTCTTTAATGCGTTCCTCCTTTTAATGCAATTTAATTTACAATTTCGCGAATCTTCGCAGATTTGGCGAATCACTGTTGCTGGCCAATTATTAATCCATCATTCTTACGAAGAATGTAAGCACCTCATGCGTTTTTTCGTCTCTCAGCCACTTCGTCCGATTTAATTTGGCCGACGCGATCTCATGCACCCGAAGCGTGTGATCGCGCTCGATTATGGTCACGGCACCTGCTTAAGCCGTCTTCGCACCGCCCGCCCGTGGCAAAAAAGTCTCATATGCTCAACTGAGTGGTGATTACGAATGCGATTCGCGTGCGGCAACGACTTGGCGATCCAGCGCGTCCAGCGTTTCATTGAAATCCGCGGGCCGCGCCGAAAAGACGTGCTAATGAGCAAGACGCGCGGCTGATTACAGAGCGGCATGGGAAACGAGCGTTTGAGAGGAAGACGCGCCGCAAAGCACGCTAAGTGGCAAAAGAACGGCCACCTAGCGAGCGGGCAAATCCTTTCCTTCGGAAGGTGAGAACCGAGGGCCGATAGGAGGTCGCCAGATGTCCCGTGACGACATCGTCGATACGTGAAGACCGCCAGGAAAGTGTCATAATCTCGGGCTTTGCTTGTGCCAGCTGGCTAATTTCCTATGCCGCCGAGAGCGCGACGCAAATGACGCTCGGCGGAACGTGTAATGCGGATAGCCGGGAAACGATGAAGGCGGGAACGGGATCGTACAAGGCCGCTTTAAGGTCTTTATATGCCCCGACATTTCAATAGTATACATTTTTGCATCGGCAATTATAATACGATACGCTGGTGAGGCCAGGTGGAAAATTCCTAAAGGGACGCAAGATGCTTTGTCGGAAAAATTGGTATAACCGGACGTTTTTACGTAATCTACTTACGTCGCGAGAAATTTCTACCAGAGAATCGCAAATTGTAAGATATACTGACGACGCTGGAAAACCTATTCGAAGGCGCTGAGAGGCCAGCAAAGAAATTGCAAGGCCTGTAAAGAAATTTAAATGTTGATTCACACCATTAATCTAAACGCTTATGGAATGCGTTATTAGCTACGCAGAGTGTGAAATGCAACGCCACTTATCAACGTACATCGGAACAGGAAGCCTCCGTGGCCGTGTACAAATCGTTTATACACAATATATGAGCTACTTGACAGCTCTATTAGCATGATTATTCTTTGCCACTATGTTACCTCGCGTCGCATGTTGTCTAACAGCCGTGTATGCATACAGATTTTCACATCTCGATCAATAAAATGATAATCGATGGCAAAGTGATTTTCGTAGAATTTTTAGAACTACGAAATTTATTCCCAGATATATTGAATCGCGATATTAGATGTTTTCCTTTCAGAGACTAAACGTTGAAAATTAGTTTCTAGTCACGTTATATAATATTCGCAACTTCCACCTAAGTACCGTCATTTGTTCACAGCAACGAGTAATCTGAAACTCAAGTTGAAACAACGAACAGTTTCATATTCCCTCGAAAGTTGGATGTGCAGAGGACGGAACTTTCGCAGAGAAGTAAAATAGCTCGTAGAAAGTTCCAGGAATGTTGGAACTAGGAATTACTTTGCGGAAAGTCTTGACAACTGACCTACCGGTCAATTGTCCATCCAGTATACAATTGAAAGGCACGGCACACCCTTTTCCCCAAGTTCCTCTAATCTATTCGAGCAGCGCGGTCAGGCACGGGCTGTGGTCCCATTCACAAGCTCGTGGTAGTCACAATGGCGTGCCTGCTACGTCTATCTGAGCCACGGGGTTATCTAGGGAAATCCTCGACTGAAATACCGGTAGGTTTCATTGAGCCTCAGCCACTGCGAGCAATTTCGCAGCGGCATTGACTGCGATCTAAGGCGACACTTGGCAAGCTGAATTGGCAGGAAGCCCGACGCCGCTTAACTCTTCTTTCAATGAGATTATCGTCGGTTACTCGGGGCCTCCTGCCACCGAGCACGACTTCATTCGCATTGTCGCGCGACGCGACTACGACACGACGATTCATGAACGGCGGTGGTGAAATGCGAGACTATCCGGGGACTGATTCCGAGAAGAGGTTCTAAGTGTCTGAAGTGGGTGATCGATAGCAGTTGCCGGGACAATCGGAAATGGTTTCGAGGCTATCATTCTTCGCCTCACTCAAATCACAATGACTTTGTCGTGAATTATTGTTCTCGATCGCAATTACAGCGCGTTACACCCTTGCTCGTTGTACTCTGAAGGAGCCAATTAGCGGCGAATATCAATATCGCGGAAGAATCAAGAATTACACTCCGTAACTTTATTATTAAATTTCTCTCCGGTTTTTCGACGCGACCTTGTTACGATACCTCGCGGAGCGATTTTCGCGATACTCCACCACGCACGTGCTTTCTATTATTCGTCGTTAATGAGTTTTAAGAGTTCTAACGATGAGCTGTCCGTGTATGCCAAAGGTTGCACGTGAAAGGCTTCTAATGGATACCTAGTCGAACCACAGCCGTTAGCCACTTACCACAAGCTCCCTCGCGTTTAGCACGTTTAGCACCGGTCAACTGACCGCGTAATCATCGCCGTATGAGCTGGAATAACGCCAGGAACGCGCCAGTCTAAGTGAATTAGTGGTGCGTGCCCGGCACTTTTATTTTTCTCTCGCTTAGCTTTTCGTTAAGCGCAGGCGCTCTAATGGTTCGCCATTTACGCGGACGCTTAAGAGAACAATGCCCCCGATGTATCGATTTTCGCCAGTTCCGACAGCGTCTCCTCGGCGTATCCTCTCGACGCGAGTTGACGCGGTTCAAACGGATTTAAAATTCAAATGCATCGTTGAACGAGTATTTATCGAATTTCACCTACAAAAATTATCACGGAGGCGTTGTCGCACGTCCCGTTACGCGTGGAATTGACTTTCCATGTACACTTGCGAATTGGGGGTAGGAGAATATCTCGAAGATATTCCAAAGCTCGTCATTAGTCAACGCCGATAGCTCGCGAAGAAAGAGGACCCACTAAGACGCGAACACTTCACGCACAATCTCGCTTCGAATCGCGCGACTAGTCGAATTTGAATATAATCTCTCGTCGCTTTGACAACTCTGCGCGTATTCCTAACAACGTATTATCATAGATACCGGTCTGGCGTGCGGGTTTCTTATCATGACGAATGCGACGGGCTGTCGCGATTAATCGATTTAACGCGATTTCCGAGAAGCACCCACGGCCACGGCGGATATGTTAACGAGCGGTGCGCCGTTTCGATAGCATCGAACACGGTTTCGCGAGCGTTCACGAATTATAATTGGGCCGTAATTAATGACATCGCCGTTATTGACAGGTGAGAATCGGCGTCGTCGCGCGCTACGCGAATTACTCGCCTCGGCCGCGCCCCTTGATCTCGTTTTGAGGTACACTTATTTTTAGGCTTAATTGCACCCCAACGGCAACGACGATGTTACGGCATAATCACCGTCATGGTATACCAACTCGATCGAGAGATATCACGCCAGCAATTGCAAATGTTTATGATCGTGCCCGCGCCTCTGAGATCGAATCATTTTTGCAGCAAGTAATTTCGCGAGGCACTGCGAGATAAATAATTTGGAAAGAACTTTACGATATTATCCGTGGCGTAACGTTATGTCTCATTATATCGAGGTGCCTGCGAGAATCGAGACTGGCGTTTACATGATCACCTAAAGCTTGCGTAATGTGGGACATACTCAATCTTATTTTGGTTAATTTTATTCTCTCATCGAATAATTATGCACGTGTGGTCTCTATATGTGACTATGTAATAAATACAATGGGAGATTTAACTTGAGTCTTTTAGTATTTATTGACAATTTTTATTTGCGCGTTTTTAAACGAGGGTCAAAATGTGGATATATACGGACGTTTGCATGGAAAAGATTTATTTTTCAAAAAGCGCGATACACGTTACAGTGCGTATCGACGAGGGACAACGATTATAACTATCGTATATATATATATATATATAGTGTATACTTCACCTAAAATCGATTGATATCGGTAAATAACTTAGTAAATTCCGTTAATATCACAACACATTATTTCCTCAATTGATCTCGTACGCACCGAGGTTCCCCTTGCGCCTCCTCGAGGAGAACCAGCCGGTAGTGCGATTTATCTGGTCGACGGATCGCTTCACGTTCGCCCGATACTCGTCCTCGTAAGCGTTAAGATACAAGTTCTTGAGGAATATTTGATTATCCAGCTCGGAAGGCGGCAGGAACCGTTTTGAACGACTCTGCTGCTGCGCCTGCAGCTCGTCGAAAGTGAACTGTTTTGATTTGGCATCGTCGACGGGCTTCTTCGACTTCCTCGAATTCTTTTGATCGTCCGCGCTGGTCGACTTCACGGACAGAAGCTTCCTCTTTTGACGCGAGGCGCCGCCGGTTTCCTCCGATGCCGCGTTTCGTATCCGCTTGCTGCGATGCTTGGGCGCCCCGTCTTTGGCCGGAATCTCGTTGTCCAGCACGGCAACGTCGTTACTCGGGATTGTCGATGATTGATTGCCGTGTGACGCGACCTTCGGCCCCGGTGCCGTGCTAGATTCCACGGTCACGCTTTCCTCCGTCGAGTTCAATCTATCCTGTATGATATGTTTGAAAAATGCGTACATCTCACCGACCGTGAAAGTCGTGCCGTTCCTCACGGTGAACTTGTCGATGTTCATCTTCTTGATTAATTCCTCGGTCGCGTTGCGCGCTTCCAACATCGACAGCTTCTCGGTAACGTAACTATTGACGAACTCGTAGAAGCCCTTGTAATAATTCTTCCTGTGCTTCTTCTTGTCTTTCCGCTTCTCAGCGTGCGACAGGCCTTTCCTCTTCGCATCTTTTCGATTCTGCTTCTCGTTCCAGCGTATGGACTTGTTGTAAAATCTCATGATACGCTCGAATTCCCTCTTCAATTTAATGAACTCCCTCTGATTGCGTATCTCGAAATCCGAGCGGGCTTTACTGCCATTTCGTCGCGACTCCGCAAGGTCTACGTGAAAGAAGTTCTTGCTCATTGCGTTCAGCAGATCGTGCATGGTATTATTGCTAGAGTTATTTGATTGTCTGGCGTCCATGCGCTGTAATTTTCTATACACCATCTTGAGAAAATCGATCATTCTCTCTTCTCGCAAACGGGATTTATTGCCATGACTTGCGTGTGCTTTCCAACCTGACGGATTGGATGCATTGGTGTTATTCTGGTGGCTACCAACGGACGTCAGCTTCGCCTCTGTTTTATGCTTGGAATGTTCGCGGCTTCTGTTCATCTCCATATGCAAAAGTTTTTTGCCCACTTTACGGAAGAAGTCGATGAATTTTCTGAAACATCAATATTTAATTTTTATGTTTAATAATGCTTTTACATTATTTCTATTAAATATTTTTATACTTTTTCAAAAATAAAGTAAAAATATACTCATATTTATATAATCACAAATTATAAATTACATATAATTATAAATTATAAATTATAAATTATAAATTATAAATATAAATTGATTTCAATTTACTAAAGTGTTGACTACTCGCGCTAAAGTTTGATTAATTCTCAAGTACTTACTTGTAATTTAGAGTGACGTTGTAATTCAGAGTAACGTTGTCCACCGATCTACGCCGTCTGCTCCATCTAAGTCGAGGGTGCTGTCCAAGAATACACTTGGGCAACTGCTTGGGACTCCATGAACCACTTATGCAAGTCGCGCCGACGGGCCCCTCGTCGAGAACGTAACCCTTGTCGCAGTCGTACATAATCTGCTTGTTGTTGACGATTTTCCTGACGTACGGTCTGTAATCGTAAACTCCCATGTTGCCCACCAGAAAGACCTTGCCGTGCTCGATGAAGCCGGGAAACGGGCAGAAGAGCTGATCGCAGTGCGGTATATCACCGATCCATTTGCCGTAGCGACACTCCACGGATTTAGAAAGATTCATGGGACCTCCGCCGATCAGCTCGAAGCCGTCTTTGCACTTGAAGACCGCTTTCATACCGTGGTCCGTCTTCGGTGCTATCACCATCCCGTTCTTCGGACTCTTCGGCATCTGCTTACATCGGGCTGGCGAGCAACTCGGCACTATCGACCAAGTACCGTTATTGCATAACACCGGGGTGCTGTTGGCGGCGAATTCGTAATTCGGAATGCAGGTAACCAGAAGCCTCTCGCCGTGTTCCACCACCGTGACATTGTTGATGTGATCTCTGTCGTGGCTGGCTACAACAACTTGGCCGTTTTCGATCTGCGGGACGACGCACGGCGCTAAACATTGCGGTAGAGGATAACGCCATTTGCCGTCTTTCTGACAGACCGAGGAAGTATTCCCCTCCAGCTTCATGTGATCCTTACAGCGGAAGATTATGCTGGCGCCCATACCTGTGCCTGCGATTGCGACAATTCCACAAAAAACGATTATAATATATATTGCCTACTTATATTTTTTATTTCGTCAATTTTCAATAACCCACCGGATTCAATGTTTTCGATCCAACCGTTATATAACACGCCGGGCAAACCGCAATTGATTTCCTGGCAAGTAGGCGCCTTTCCAGTCCACTTTCTGTCAGCACCGCAACGTCTAGTTGCTGCGCCTATTACGGTGTACCCGTACTTGCACTCGTACGATACAATGGAATTATACGCGTAGGAGGTGTAGACAGCCTTGCCGTTGACTGGATTTTCTGGCTTCGGACATTGCACGGACGTGACCTGCACGAAATATTGAGCACGTCTAGACACAGTTTTGTTTCCGAAAAATAATTCGAAATTTTATTCTTGGTCTCTTACTTGAACGCATTGCGGTAATTCCTTCGGGGTCCATGTGCCATCCGCCAGGCACAGTTTCTCCGCTTTACCAACTAATTCGTAACCATCCATGCAATGATACGACACGCGGCATTCATACGTATAGCACTCCCCTTAAAAGTGGAATCGACAATTAAAATCTCCCCCGTATCAAAATATTAAATACTCGATATTAAATACACGGATCGGTCATAATTACGTGAACTTACCAGAGTGCCATCCGTTGGAGATGTCTGGGGCTGAATCGCAGCTTTGAGGCTTGCAAGTGATATCTGGCCCGTACCATCTAGCAGCTCCTTCCATCAGCAGACATTTCGCTTTCTTCGCTCCCGTTGCTACGTATCCATGATTACAGAAGTATTGCACGCTACTATCGAGATCGAAGGTTGTTTGTTCCAATGGACCGTTGTGGCGCGCGTTTTGGATCTTCGGCGGCTGGGAGCAGAAGGAGTTGGAATCTTTCTTGCAGGACGGATCAGTCCCGGTCCAATGACCGTCGGCGCGACACGTTCTCTCGGACAGACCGACTATAAAGTAGTCGGTGTCGCAGGCGTAATGAGCTCTATCCCCGAATAATATTCCGGTGACCGTCATCACGCCGTGATCGATCTCGGTCAACGCCGGGCATTCACGTTCGGGTTTGATGCACGACATTCCGCAGGCTCCGTCGCATCTGCACTTCTTCTTCTTACTCTTGCAATCTTCGTCGGTCGAGCACTTTCGTAGACACTTCTGACCCATCAGCTCCGCCTGCTCCTCGTCTCTCGGGCACAGAACAGAGGGTGAGTTTCGCGGGTTTTTGTAGATTCGGCCGTCGTCGTCGATCTCGGTCCTCGTATCATAACCTCCGTCGTCATCGTCATCGTCATCGTCGTCCTCAAAATCATCGTCATCGTCGTCGTCATCGTCGACGGCCTCTTGTTGCCGAAGCTTCGATTCAGAAGTGAGAAACTGAGCGCACAGCAGCAGCAACAGAACGATCGCGCTTGGTCTCATTTTGGCCTGAAGAAGAGATTTCGAAATCCCGCGAGAAAAGATTCACTGAGGGTATACTAGCGATTGGACCATGCGATGATTGGACCACACGACGGCACACCAGGACACGACGGGACGTTTACATGACCGCTTGACTACCCGAACTAATCATCTTACTCGGAGTCCCGTGAAGAGCCAATTCCGTGGATCTTCAGATGAGCACGATCGTCCATCGAAGAGCACCGTTCCGGGAGTTCCGTTCAGACCACTGCGGAAGTCATCTCGAGCTGCAGCCGAGGACGACGTTGTTTCTCTCGCGAGCGCGACTATTAATCGAGTCCGCCTCTTCGGCGTCCAGGAGGATTAGGAACCCTCTCCGTCGGTCTCTCTCGCCGGAGTGCTCTTTCGCTCCTACCGACTCCACCTCGCTTCCTCTCGCTCTATCCTGGGTGCTTTTTTCTTTATTGTACGGACTGCGGTCCCCCGCTGACGGGAATTCGCGGATATTCGCGCATCTCGCCGCGCGCATCCAGCCTGTTCAATACATCTCATGATTTCCCCAGCTCCCAGCAGATGGCGAGGAAACGCGCTGATGAAAAGGGAGGCTGCGCAGCTACCCCGGGAACCCGGCTCTTCACGGTGGTCTTGGTACGCAAGGGTATGTGTAGCGTGCAAGCAAACGTCTGCATCTTTAAAATAAATTTTAAATGCTGGTTAGCTGCGATTTTACCATGAATAGTAAGAGAGTAAATGAAGGCAGATTTAAAATGCAATGCGCTAGTATTGATTGAAATGTATAATGTTCGCCTTTATAAATTTTGTCTTCATCCGAACCTCGCTCGTTAAAATTATAGCCAAAGAAATCGCGAATTATCTCTAAAGCGGAAAGCTTCGATCATACCGTATAATCAGCGGCAACTAAATTTTTACTATCGCGCGTTATTCGTCGCTTCGGCATAGCTTGCTGAAAAAAAAATTCGGTACGTGTACCCGAGGGGTCTGAAATTATTATTCACGCGAGAGGCGACATTCAAGAGAGGAGCTGAAACGAGCAAAAACGCGACGCCGCGAAAACGTTTCGGCGTCGTAAAAATTACACCGGGCAAAGGTGTTAAAACGAGCCATGGCGCTTCAAGGCAGAGAAACTGCACATGTACGTATGCATATCTACCTACGAGCCTGTGAAGTCCTAAGCTCTCGAACACAAAACGTATGCAATGGATACGAATTGTCTCTCTAAAAGCTATTCGCTTTAGCCTATCTCTTTCTTCTTTGCGTGACATGCAAAAAATACACTTTATTTGCTTAAACGATGCCTGCACAAAAAAAATGTCAAATTAAAACTTATATAGGTACTTGTACATACGCAACAATCTATAATCTTTTTATAAGAATTTCAATTTTTCATCTCAACTTTCTTTTCTTAGTTGAACTATATAAATGACTTGCATTCAAGTAGTTTTCTTCGTTTAACGCGATATAATCTCATTTCTTAGATTATAAAATGTTGCGTATATACGAATATATAAGTCTTGATTTGACACTTCTTTTTCTGTATGAAATCGTTCACCCGTAACCTGTCCTGATCTTTCATGAAGTTACGAGAACAAATATTATAAATTTTTTTCTTTTTTTCAATTTAACATTCGGCGTTGCGACGATTTGCATGACAAAGTTACAATTTGCCTATCTTGTCGTCGAATAGCGAACGAGAAATACGCGCGCCTCGTATGAGCGTGGGTAGCAGGCCGGGGGATCGGTTTTCATCGGACAAAGTCGAGCCTACCTCCAACCTATGCTTGTTAGTCGTCGTGCTACCAAGATAATCCTCGATCTCTAAGTCAAGCGTCATCGTTAGAGTAAGCCTATGTCGGTCATTGTTTTCATAACGATAGCGATCGATCGGTATGGTTCGACGTTCGACGTCCCAGCGACATAGGTGATCCCCTCGCTTCAATCTCGGATATCGGCTTCATCGTTCTTGCACCGTGTCCCCGAGATGTCTTCATTTGTCTTATTCAAATCAAGCATTTTCGGGTAGCTTTTATTTGAATAAAAGAAAACGATCCTTCTAAGAAATTCGGAAATTAAGACTTGCGCGATGTATACCGCGTAATTACCTTACATTTATTATATGTGTATGATACATTTCTGTTTTCAGTTTAAAAAACCTTAAGTCTATGAAAAGCTTAATTTTAATACGAAACACATAAAATACAAAAGTCATTATCGATACTTTTTTTAACTATAATGTTCATTTACATACTTATATCGTTTTAATATAAAATGTTAACTCTTTTTAATAAGACTGGTTCTGGACTTATTCAGTGTCGCAGGCCGTTTCCGTCTCTGAATGCGGGCATCAGACCGGATTGACAGAGTGGCAGTAACTCGGTAGCTGAAAATGGGAGTGGCTGGAAGACAAGAGGACAACTCGCTCAAAGACATCTTCGTGGCGCCTCCCTATGCGACTGAGGGGAAACAGTGGATCTCAGTCATTAGGCGAACAATTATAAAAAATATTGATCTGCATTTTCTAAGGTAAGACACAAAATTTCGTAACGTCCATTATTTCTTTCGCGAAAAAGATTTTTAACCGTAAGCACAGATCGGAGTAAAAGCAAGAAGGCTTTTTTTAAATACAATGTATGTATATCACGTGTGTGAGGATCCCTGCCGCCAAGTCTTCTCGAAGGATGTCTCTTTTCGTCCTCGGTGGGCGGCACACGCCTCGCCAGCTTTAAGAACGAGAACCGACTATCAAAGTGTCGGTTTACAGTTGCGCGTCTACCCTGACGTTGCGCCCTTTCTTCATTCGGCTCCTCTCTGAAAAGCTCGAACACTTTCGAGCAGGTCGTTCTCAGGATTACGCAATTATTCATTTTATTAAGTCTTTTTAGTCGAGAAAATCGAGAATGTGAGAAAACATGATTGGCAAAGTTTCTCGTTACTCGTCCTCGCCCTAGAGAACTTCGAAGGTCTTAAGAAGCCGTAAATTCGCGGAGTTTCACTTTTTTTTCAATTAACTTTATCTCGTCGGATGTGGAAAAGTACGAGGGGGAAAAAAAAGACGAAGCTCACGGCAAAAGCTACGCGTTTCTGCTCATTCTGCAGCTCGTTACGCGACCATTATCCCCAGTCTCGCGAATCCATTATTCTCTCTTCAGCCTCTCGAAGGTTCTTTTGCGATTCGCGCACCGTCCACATGACGCTGCGGAATAATGGTTTACGGTCGTTCCCCGACCGACGAGACGAGAGAATCTCCGGACTCTGATCGCGCGCATGCATACTCGTCGGCTCACGCATAATCCGGTTGCAATCTTTCGCACTCAATCACGAAGCAAATGACGCCAGTTGGCGTTGGTCTAGAAGAGGCGAAATTACCGGAATGAAATTGATTTAAGCAGACGCCTCCGGGGAGTTTTGCAACCGGACGTTTCGGCTTATGGCCGATGATTGCCCGTCCAAGTAAGTTTCTACGTTTATCATGCAAGGAAATAAAAATTCAAAGGAATAGCAACTGTTTAAACATCAGTTATTCGTTATTCCTATATTTTCTTATTTGTATTTAATGCTGTTATGAACTGCCAAGATTATTCAATGTAAAAATCTACTGATCATCTCTACTATCGATTAAAATACACAATACATTTTAAATTATTCCGTCAGAACGCCAAGCGTTAGTCAATGAGACTTTTACATTTTTATCCCAGCGAGATCGCTTCTTATCGTCCGATAAACGTCCCAATGCAATTTCCCGTCGCCGATTGGCACTTAAACTTTCTTTAACTGCCAGCATCCACTTCGGTGAACGATCTCGAGCACTCTCGAGCATTGCGGAGGCATCCACGTCGTCACTTACTCATTGGATCTTTATGTGCCGCGCTGCGCGGCGTCCGCCGCTGACGCTCGCTTTGTGCGCGACGCGCTGGCTACCGAGCGCGCGTTCATTTGACGGATGCACCTACGCTATGCAGCTTCCTTTCACGGCTTGGTACGTGCCTTAAGCTGCATTCGTCGGACCGGTCTCTTACGAGACGCACCGACTGAGTCCAATTCAGAAGCAATTGAATTCACAATTCCGTCCATTACGAGTGTCGGGAAAAGATTACGGACGGTGGCTGCCGGGGCTGTGCGTGCCGCATCTGCATCCATCCATGCGTAAGAACGGACCGCGCGGACGTATGCATAAATGCATACATGCGCCTCCGTATGTTGCATCGCGACGTGGCCTCTCTGTAGCGAGTTACGAGATGGCTCCTGGGATTAAAGCTCCAGCTAGACAAGTAAAGGCATCGGCGCGCCGCGCCGTCCGCCGGAATCGCCAGTTGATGGGGACTCGACGGTTCTTAACAGGCTTATGAATAGATATTGGCGGCTCTTTTAATGATTTATTATTAAGTGACAGTTGAGACGAAATATAACACTGCTCGAAAGATCGTAGTTGTTAAGTGGATTTGCACGTGCCGCTAAAAATGTGCATATTTGCCACGTCTCTATCGAAATCTCGCAAGATTAAAGCAGAATATATCTCTAGAGTTGTGAATAAATCTTTATTTTTCAGTAATTACTTTTTATTCCACATTTCGTTAACTTAATAATCGAATTGTAAACTTCACGATCTGTACACAAAAAAATGCGCATAACAATGTTATGTGCAGACATAATGATTCTTTCATTGGGAATTCAATAATACTTTCTGAACAAGAATCAATATATTTTTCTTGCAGTGCTCCAAATTTCTGTTGCCCAAGCACCTTAAATGCGCGCAACGAGACCGTTGTGTGAGCAGTAACAACGCGTACGAATAATATGTGCGGCGGGAGAAAGTTCTGCCTTTTGACGCGCTGATTGCAGGTTTCCTTTCGCGTCTCGGTGCTTTTTGACGTTCCCGGCCGGGTCGCGGGAATCCGGGGCTGCCCGTCGGTCTCCCACCCTCGCCGCCCGAAGAACTGGAGCACCGTGAAGCGCACGATGATAGTAATTATGCATCGCCATGTAAAACATGGATTTGCACAAAGCCACCTGAAAACCGGCCAGAGTGCCGCGCGTACGATTATTAAGCCGTCACAACGCGGGAGGACGGTTCTTACCGTCTTGGGCTTTCGCTGCTACTTTTTCTTGCCATCCCCTTTGGGGCAACCCCCGGGGGATTGCAGGGAGGTAACGCGCGTTCTCAAATCGTAAGATGTAATCCTCCCATTTTGCCCTGCATGCCGATAATCTGGCTTGCTTCTTCGCGACCAAGCAAGCAAAAATTCGCGTAGCAACTGAATATAATTAACCATATGCTTATAATTAAAAAAAAAAACGTAATTTTTAACGAACTATTATCAAATATATTATCAAAAAAGGCTTAATCAAGCAAATTCTCATTTATTATTACGCGCAGCGATCGGTCGTCCGGTCGCGAAAGATCCGCTTGCCGTAATTGCGATGCGGAAGAGAGTCTCGCGCGCGCGTGTCGTCGAAAAGGGTTTCCCGTCTCCTTCCGGTCCCCATCGAGTTCCGCATCATTGTCTCCATAATTAGCCATTCAGATTTGCTTCCTCGCGCGAACGCGTGTGCGGATATGACGTTCGTCGACGGCGGCACGTGGACGACGGACGTCGACTGGCAAAACGCAGGCTGCCACGCGGAGGCGTTAGCGGAAGACTGCCGATATGATAAATACAGCTGCTGCAGGTGGTTGACACTTGCGTGAGGTGATTACGATCTGGTAACAACATGATCGCACCTCGAGAAAAATTCCTCCGATCCGTAGGCGGATGCTTCCATTCACGAGCGACGGAAGCCTCGCTTGTAGGAAAAACATAAGTAGCAATAACTTACATTACTTCGATTATAATTGTGAAAATTTTGCGTCGGAAAAATATTTCGAATGAAACGCTTCCTCGATACGAACAATGTAACTTGAGTATATTACTCTTTCTCATTTAATCTCTAAACTTTAAATTATTAATGATAAAGTATCAAAAAATGTGTCTTTTACAAAAAGGATTAGATTTCTTATCAAATAAAATCTTGATCTCGTAACAAGTAGCGCTCTTATCGCGGCACGTGAATTTTAGCACGAAACACACCGATAGCCATCGGTTATTGCGGTACCGCCCTCTTTCCGAGATATTATACGCCGTTAATACTCATTGCGAGCCTCTTGTTAACAGTCGCGGTTAACTCGCGACTGAATCGTAAAGCCGCCGCCGTCCACGGGGCCGCGAGCTATTAACAGAGCACACATAGCATTTGTGTACGTGCAAAAAAATCTTAATTATTTATTTACTACCTGTAATAAAGGTGCTAAATCGACTTCTCCGTCCCGAGACTTGTGTAAGATTTTCGTGGCCTTTTTGCGCCGTTACCGATCCCGCGAGCTCGTGCGTGAGATAAGGCGGCGACGAACGCGCGATAGCGATCGATAAAGCGTCAATTATGACTTGTTAATGGAAAGCGGCGTCATTAAAGATGCGCGTAAAAGTTACTCGTTATTCGGCGGCGCGCGAAGGACCGCGACGGACGGATACGTCGCGGTTTACAGCCGGATGTAAAGTGACTGGGGAGGGGGATACGATTTCCTCGGGCGATCGTAAAGACCGGAATTCTCCATTAAATGCGCACCGTGCCGGTGTGTATAAGTAATAATAGTAATAATGTCGGGAAGGGCCGACATCGTCCCCGTTCGTCCGTAAAATGCAGCCTCCGTGTCTCGATCTAAGATAACGCGTCGATTTTAACGCGATCCGAGAAAGTTAAATGGCACGTAATATCGCGGAAAGTTAAAATAGAATTACAGGTTTGTGGTACTTACGAGGTAACTTCATGTACCCAAAGCCTCCGATATGGCCAAGATTTCTTTGTTATTTATAAAAATCTTAAGAAGTGATACTATGTGACTATATAAATTATCACTCTCTAAATCTGAATCAGTGAATAGTACCGCTGAATCAGTGAATAGTCACTGATATCAGTGACTATTAACTGATTCAGATTTAGAGAGCACATTAATTACTGACAGTCATTCGTTAAACCAATTTAATTATTGAAAAATGATCCAGATTCGTCGATTAAAGTTGGTGTTAGTCCGCAAAACATTCTCTCGAGATCGATAAAATTGATCTTTTTAGAATGCAGCAGCTTAAGAGTGCGAAGTGCCCGTAAACGGACGCCAAACATGAAGAGAAATATTTATGAATACGTGCCGGCTAACAGCTTCGGATCATGCAATCGTGCAGATAACGCTGGAAATATCCGAGGGAAGCACCTGTGTATCGATTTAAGTGCCTAAAACTCTCGGGAGACCCTTCGAATTGGTACAGTGAATCCGAATCCGGACAGCCGTGTGCATCTGGCAAAAAAGCCTTACATCGAGTCTCTTTTTTTCGTCTCGAATGGATTTTACGATACTGATATCGACACGTGGACGAGAAACCTTTCATACGGTTTAAATATTTACTAAGCGGCTTTTAATTTCGAGATAGGTATATATTTAAACTGTTTCACTGTGGTCGATTTTTAGCTCCAAATAAAGTATTTCACGTTATAAAGATCCTTACGAAACATAAAAAATAAGATTTTTTTTTAGAGAAATACGATCAGCAACGCTTTGTTAAAAGTAAAGTAAAATAATGTCCAGTCAGAACACATTAATTATAATTAGCGAAGAAAATTGCTCTGAAATACTTTTCAAGTCGCCATTAAATAGATAATAATAATTAAACGACACGCAATAACGTTAATGTGAGTGATTAGTAACTGTACGATGCTGAATATATTGTGAAATTAACGAGTACAAAAAGCAAACGTAAAGCTATCGCAATTTTGCTTAAGATCGCTATGCACGCGACGTCATCTTGCAATCAAGAAGAAGAAAATTAAAAAAGAAATTCATACCTTGTGAAGATTCTCTCGTAATATCCAGGAAAATACCTGCAAAATATCACACGGTTAACAAAACATATTAATTCTTTTCATTTATTACGAATTAATTTTATTAAAAATTTATAATTCCTTAAATTAACAGTAATAGTCTTTCTGCAAAAATGACGTTTTACATCATAAAGATAATTAACCGGTAAGAGAGCACGCAACGCATTGCTCAAATATTGTAAGGTATTCCAAGTCCTTCGTATCAAACTGGTCAGAGAATCCGTAGAAGGAAAGTGCGAAGAATCTAGGACATTTTTATTGTCGAGAATTTCTCGCGATGCTTCGTTAATAACGAAGCTTAACGAAGTGTCAGACAATAATTCTTTAACGTCCGTTTATGATGCTAATATCAAAACGCCGGTCACATCCCCCCGTTTATCTACATGTGTCATCTCGACTTCGCACACATCCCGCATTTATATGCGCATCATTAGACTTAGTCCCATGCCACTTGTGGCTTTCGTCGTTCCCACAACGCGTTTCCGCTTCCGGCCAGCACGTGCAACAACCGATCGGCCGTCACCACCTGAACCCGCTAGAACACTTGCTGAAACATCTGTAACCCCGCGCAACGTGAATCGATACGCCAGAAGGAAAATATCTCGCCGTCTGTTTCACTAACCGGATCGTTAGCGGCCCGACAACGCAGCAGCGACGTCCGACGAAAAGCAAACGAATAGGAGCAACGCGAGTAAAGTGTAATAAAAGAACTAAAAAAAAAACAGGCAAAATCTCGTTATATCGAAGGGCTAATTCGAAACGATGTATTATATTAATCTTGGCGTTAGTCAGCTTATTTGCTCGTTCGCTCTCGCACCGGTGGAACAGTCGTGTAGATTAAACAAAAGGGCTGACGAAGGGGCTGCGATCTCTCCCGCGGCAAAACCGAGAGATCACAACGAGAACTGTGTTCCTCCACGTGGGCAGATAACGAAGAAAAACTTTTTCGCTTCCTCCCGTGGGGGGGAACGGATTCGATTCTTTCCTACTCGTTACAATGGCGACTCGCTATAATTCCCCGCGCGCGAGGACGGATGAGTAATGATCTGCCAGTGATACAAATCGTTGCGATTCACCTGCAGCCGATCGGCGATTCGGTTCTGGTTCCAATTAAAAGAACACAGGTACGGATCAGCGGGTGGACCGTCCTTCGATGGCACCCTGTGGGAGTTCGGCCTCGGTGTATCCCGAAGAGGCCGGATCGATACCACGATTTTTCGATCTTGCATTATTAGTCACGGCTCTCTCTCTCTTTCGCGAAAAAAACGGGATCGGCCTGTGTGCGGCTGCAACGGGCATAATTACCAGGCACATTGACGTGTACGTCGTAATTAGCGGCGACCACTTAACTGGCAGACATAGTTAATTTGTAGCCATTTGCCGGCGCGAGTCTCACTCATTTGTGGCTAATAATGTCACTCTCCGGGAGAAGATTAAATGCCGGAACGTGTATACACGACGCAGCGCGCCGTCGCGGCGTATCGCACCGAGTTAAAAGGCGATGTTAATTAGCATACGCTGAATCCCCCAATTAATTGTACAATCACATTCCATAATCACACGAATAATAAGAGAAACAATTTATAATTACAGGCATGTGACTCTTATTAAAATATAATTCAATTACACGCAGAAATAATTTAATAATGAAAATACGCGTGTGGATATTTCGTTTTATTACGACAAATGGAATTTCGTGTTTTTGTCAAAATAATTCGTACAGGTATCAGGATGCAAATGATCAGCAATATAAAAGATTGTCGTTTCCGTTATCCTACGTCACCGTGCGCATCGCCAATCAGAGGATTGTTCCTAAGTGCAATTCACGCCGCGCACTCAAGATTTACAACTTAACGGCTAGTCGCCGCACCGGCTCTCTCGACGTTCAATTTCCATAGATACACACCAAAAAACGGAACCCCTTCCCTACTCTCGCCGTCACCGAGTCCTCGCCTCGAGTTTCCTGCGGCCGAGCCCGGAGGCGTAGGCGTACGTAATAACTCCTCATGTAGAGAAGTTGGGCGAGGCACGAGCGAATCGCGCGCGCACCGCGTTTATCGCGCTTCGAAGCGAGAGTCGACTTCGTATGGCCTTTTAACCTTATATGGCCGGCGCACCTGCCCGCCGCCGCCTCCCGATAGGACATTTCCCATAACGCTTTCCTCCTTTTTTTTTTATATACCTATATAAAACCACAATGCTACCCCCATCCCATTCGGCGGCGTTCAGGATTTATGATCGCGGGCGTTGAACGCGTACCTGCCATAACTTTAGCCCGGAATACCGGAGGCTCGAATCCTCTTCCGATACTCTCTTTCCCGTCCTCAACCCGCCCCTATAAAGCTTATCTATCTGCAGGTCCTGATACGAACTCTGGATGGAACGAGGAGGCACATCGCATCCTTCGATAAATTTCACGCTAATCTATAACAAATTTTTACACAGCGTATCTCATAGGAATAAAAATGCTCGATGGAAACATGTTCTTTTCATTTTTTGTAATAACAACGAAGCTATATCCTCCTATATTCTGTCATCTTATCTCGAAAGAGAAACGTTCACAGTATCACATTAATGACGTTGGAAACTCATTAATACTTTTCGTAGCTGATGACTATACGAGACATCGAACATGGTCCAACGCGAGTCTTCGTTAGAGTATGGTGTAGTCTCAAGAAGAAAAAAATTCCTATCTTTCGCTCTTATCTCCCGCCTCGGGACAACGCAGCCCGAGACGCAAAGCGAGCCAACTCAGCCAACTGAGAGAGGGTGAGGAAAAAGTTGGAATTAGGTTGGGTCGCGCGCGCGCGCAGGTGTTGCAGGTCAGGGTCAGATTAACCCCGATCAGGTTACCCCTTAGCGTGGGAGTGCTGGCAGCTCTCCGCGTAATAATAGGATAGCCGCGGCTAGTAGAATATATACGAGAGAGGCCGAGAAATGCGTTACTCCAGTTAGATCTCACTTCGTTATAAACGGTTTCATCGAGCCGCTGATTTATCAGGACGTCCCTAACGAGATTGTTCGTACCTTATTCTCTCCGGATGGTTAATCAGCGAAAGAAGAATCGGTCCCTATCCAATTAATACGTACGTTTTTCCCGTATCAAGCCTGCGAGTTTCCTTCAAACGGCACTAAAGCGCGTAATTTCGAGTTCGTTTAACTACCGGTGATTTTATATTTAGTACACATTATTTGCTCAACCCCTCGCGCTGTAATAACCTGCCGTTACATCGCTATAATTTCGCTCCGTATTTATAGCGATGTAACGTTATAATAGGGGCTTCGTCGACGAGTAGTTGACCTGCGCTGCACTTTCATAGATTGATCTCGTTTCATTTTAAACGCACTCATCGAATCCAAGGTGTACCTCGGCGGTCGTAACGGTAATTATCACTTTATTTCGATCAGTTCACGATTCAATCGATTTTATCAACGTGGATTGTTATTTTTCAAACAGCAATCAGTCGAATTATCGAAAGATAATAACTAGATTCTATATGATTTCAAATTGGCAAAAATTATATCGGTAAATAAAATCTTTACTACCTAATAATCTTTTCCATTATTATTTTTTATGACTATTATATATAATAAACAGCGAAATATTGTTCAATGTTTTAGGAAGCAATTTTTAATACTGTTATCTAAAGATTGCTATATATATATCTGAAGTGAAATTGATCTTTTTCGATTTGTCTCGTATTAACAACCCCTATCAATCTTTCTATAAATACAAGATTATCTTCAACTTCTCTGCCTAAGAAAAGGCAATCAGCCGTACCAATTTGCAGCGTTGTAAATTGACTAGATAACAAAAGTCGGATTTTACAACGTACCACTTTCGTGTCTCGGGGCCCCGCGGCTATCGCGCCCGGTCCAATCCCGATTTCGTCTCCAAATGCCGATCGTACCATCCAATCTGCACGCGTGTAAAACGAATGATCACCAAGAGCGCACCGAGAGAGCGCCTACCGTGTTCCACCTCAGGCGACGTCGTAATGATTACGCGTGTAATTTCAAGGATATTTATCCTACATCAACATTCCATCGCGATCGAAACGCGTATATACTCGTGTTGCTGCAGCGCGTAGCCCGCGGCCTGAGACAATTCCGCGCACCTGCACTTTAATTCTGACTTCTAAATAAGTTGCACGTACGTCTGGACTAGATGCGACCCATCTTCATTTCAAATCAGAACTCGTGACCGATATAAATGGAGCGATATTTATGATAATAAATATTTCTGAAAAAGAAGAGAAACTGTAAGTAATAAAGAGATGTACAACTAAAATCTTGTCTAGCTATATATATGACGGAAAATATCCCGTCTATGATATGTGTGTTCTACAAAATTGTTAGCAATTATCAACGAGAAATGTAGCTACTACATATATGTACACATATGTGCGTGTGTGTCTGTGTATGGCTCCAACAGTTCTCATCACAAGCAGGAATTAATTTTGTTTCGTACGGTCTTAAGCACGCTTCGGCGCTGCTTGTGTAACTTTTTTGGAGTGGCCAAGAAATCGCGGCGAGAAGTTAAATTGACTTTGCCGTACGGAGGGCCCGATAAGAGGCCTCTCGCGCAACGTCGTAATGGTTACGCGTGTAATTTGAAAGTTATTTATCCAACACGCGCATTCCACGCGCTCGGGGGACTTGTGCACGGTGTTGCCGCGAGCCGGAGCGACAGCGTGTTGCTCGCGGCTTAATTAAATTCGTCGGGGCAGGGGACACGCACGACGAATGATAATGTACTCTCGGGACCGTGGCCAAAGTCGATATCACAAAGAGCGTATCCCGAGGACGCGCGTTACAATAAGATCGAATTAATTGGGACACCGCAGGGGCCGGGGGACCCGTGGATTTATTTATTGTGAACTAGGACAGAGGAGAGCCGCCGACCCCCGCCGGCTCTTACGATTAATATCATTTTATTCGGCACGAAAGCCATCCTTCTTGACCGGTCCTAGAACGCACCTCCGGTCCCAACACGCTCA